TTTAAATGTTTATTGTAACATGAAGCTGCTTCTCTGGCTTTCATTTCACCGGCGTGGGAAGCATTTTATACGTAGTCTATGGAACCAGTATTTGAAATTCTTGTTCATTGTCTTCCTCACCATTTATTCTTTCACTCACTAGTACATTGACTTGGATTTTGATTTCCATGTTACCAACTTTAGAATTTTTCTTTCCTGGTTTCTTTCCTTCATCCTACTTTAGAACTAATTTTCTTTAGCAAGTCACAGCAAAGGCAGGAATGTGTTGAGCCTCTTGCCCTGCTCTCCAGTAGGAGTTAGTTTCTGTTTATTAAGATCACATGTGAGATGAATTTGAGGTAATGGCTAAGTAGCCAAGGAGTAGCATTCTGTCAATTAGAAATATAGAAGTGTGAGTGAAAGAAGTGGATTTGAGAGACATTTGTCTTCATAGTATTGGTTGGAGCCACAGAAGAATAACAAAACAAAAAGGATTGAGGATAGGAGGAACATTCATATTTAAGGAACAATAACCAACAAAGAAGAAAGAGAAAGGTAGGAAGATGTAGGATGACAGAAACGTACAAAGGCATGAAAAGCAAATGGTAAAATATTAAGAACTTGTGTATGAATCATTAAGCTGCAGTAGTAGAGGACAAGAAGAAAGACCTTCAGTTTTAATATAAGCAGATCATTGGAAACTCGGATGAAGAGTTTAAGCACAATGGGTTGTTTCTATTACCTCTTATGTTAAAAAAAATACTCTAAAATTTAGTGGACTAAAACAACCACTTACTTGTTTATGATTTTGCAATCTGAGCTGGATTCAGCTGGTTTTACTGTCTTTCAGGATATTATTAAATAGCCCAGGTCTGTTGAAGGTAACATGGATGGGAATCTGTAGTTAAATGCAGTCATTCCTAGTGTTTCTGAAATTTGGAATCAAAGTCAATCAACACAGCACCAGTTGTATGTTAGTAAACTGACTCTTCAGGGAAAAAACACCTGATTGTGACATTTGCCAATATTCGTGAAGTGAATACTTTTACCGTGGCTGATTTCAGGCTACCAGTGTGGAGTCACTGAACTTAAGAGTTTGGAAGACATACAGACAGTTCATTCTCAACAGCTAGTGTGAGCCAGGCCCAAGCCCCGGACACTCCTATAAAAAAATATCGTTGTCCTGATCTCTTCATCTACAAAGAATTTGAGGCAGGTTAACAAAAATAAACACTTAATAAAACAGGATTAAGTAAACGGGTGAAGAATTTTATATAAAAGGGAAATAAGGGTGTGAAAATAAAAGAATAAAGTTAGTAGTTTATGAAATAGGTGCCTATGATAAGGATTTCAGCAATTACTATAAGTGAGCTAAGGATTTGCCTAAAACAAAGAGGAAATGAGCAATAAATAGGGTTCATAGTGAAACTTAGATAAAAACACATCAGCTGCTCAGGAGGAACAAAACTTTCTGATGACATCAGTGAACAATTAGATAAGGATACTGCTTCTTCAGCATTCTTGTAAAAGTAGGATGGCAATATTTGTGTGATATTTCTTGAATTTTTTTTTAATGCAAGGTGCTGACAGTGCCAAAGTGATTCAGAAAATGTATTATTTTCTCAGAAAAAAAGATAAAATTGGCAATTTGGGATCTATAATAGACTAATTTGGAATAAATGATAAGAAAACGTATTGGAAATATAGCTGAGAGCCCCTTCTAGTTTATTTAGGCTATTTAGAAAGCAGATTCCATCTGCATCATTAAGAGTTTGCAGGTAAGGAAACTAACAAAATAGTTACAAGATTCTAAGTATGGGATAATTAGGAGATCAAGTAGCTGTGGATTTGTTTATAAGGAAAATCCATATATGAGAGAGTTCGCATAAAAAGAATTAGCAAGATTTAGTAACAGGCTAGCTGTTGCGAACAAGTCAGAATGACTACTTGCAGGTAGCTGTCCTATGCTCAGGGAACTGATATGATATACCATGAAAACTTTCCCAGGTGTCCTTTTTGATTTCTAGTGGTGATTCATCTTTCACTCTTGATTTTTTTGGTGTCATTCTTTAATCCTTTGAATATTGACTTTATGGAGGAGATTAGATTAGATGCTTATAGTGATCAGTAAGACGTGTGATCCCCGTCTTTAACTTTTGGTGTCTTATCATAGGATCCTTTTCTCATTTCTTTCTGCTCATGCTGTCCTTGGTTAGCCTCATCTTCATACATCATTGTTGTTGGACCCAATCTTAAACAGAGTTTTTCTCCTATTCTGTTATTTATTTCTCTTCATTGGTGTTTGCTCAGGCAGCCCAACTTGAAAGCAGGGTAGGAAGGCGGTTAGGGTCACCGGCAAATGCTCAGAAGTTCCTGTTCTCATTACTCCTACTTCTGGGTTCTTCTCTTGTTCCTCCTGGGCACAGAGGTGCTGGTGTTAATTCCTCCCTGCCCACCTTTCCCTAGAGTCCGTGCGTGCTGGTGCCTCCTACAAACGGCAGAATGAAGGAAAGCCAGAAAGAGGTGAGTTTTGAGCTAGATTGTGATTTGGGATCGTGAAGGGTGGGGGGCTATAATTTGTAAAGGTTACAGAAATGGGAAAAGTGTATAACTGCTCCATTAGTCTGCTGTTGGAACCAGAGTTGAACAATAGCAGACTCAGGTAGTAGGATTTGGGGAGACATGTGGGTTTGTTGTCTGGGCTAGCCACTCCCAGTGAGCAACTGCCACCTCATAGGAGGTTGAGATCTGTAGAGTAGACAAGTCACTGGCAGAAAGGACCCAACATCAGTAGTATCAGGATATTTCTATTTACCATTTTTGTGCTCTTTCTGCTGCCATCTGTATCATCCTTTTTCTTTATCCTTTGCTTCTTGCCTGTCCCTGCCCTTCATGCCACCGTTATATATGAATATATGTTGATATTTGATAAACCACTGCCCTCTCCTTCAATGTTCCTTTGCTTCTGCACACTGAGATTGGTTGAAATCTGCTTAAATTAGCCTTATGCAGCTAAAATCATGAAAGATCCTAAGACTACCCTTGGCCACCATACTTGGCATACCTGTAAGAGCTGATGTTTTGTTTGTAAAGGAGGTGCTAAATAAGAGATTAACAGCTGCTTGTGAAAGTTTTTTGCTGTGTTTAGCTGCTGTGTGCCAGAATTGAGCCTATAATTATGTCTTTAATTAACATAGTGTGCTGTGCTGATTGGTTCATTTCTTCATCTCTCAAGGAAATACTTAATCAGAATAGACTGGGGAGGTCATTGAATCCTTAGGGTAGAAAAATAATTCATCTTTTCACAAGTTTGTGAGTGCCTACTCTTTTCTTAAAGGACTCAGCTTGGTAGGCCTTGGGTATTCGGAAAAAAATGAGCTATGATACTTGTTCCTCTAGGGGCTTTTGGTGCAGTGGGATAGACTGACACTGTCACATTATGATATGGAATTTGCCATGTGCAATGGAAATACAGTAGGGAATGACTAAATAAGCCATGTTCTTAGCCATTTGGGGATGTAGTGATGGTTGTATCATTTTGCTTTTGATTTTTAAGGTCTGTAAGAACTTTTAAACTTGCTTAGTGTGAAAGTCTCTTAATGGTACCACAAGTTAAAAGATTCTAGAGTTAAGTCTTTTTTAAGACTATTGGAGCTTCACAGTTGTAATACTGTGCCTAGAGCAGGAGTTTTCAACCTCAGCACTACTGACATTTGAGGCCGGATAATTCTTTGTTGTGGAGGGCTGTCCTGTGCATTTGTAGCATGTTTAGCAGCATCCCTGACCTCTACTTAACCATGTGCCAGCGGCACTCACCCACTGTGACAATCAGAAATATCTTCACACATTGCCACGTATTGTGGGTGCGGGGAGCTGTGGGGGGCGTCTTGAGAAAGCCTTTCCGGCTCTGCAGGACATTGGAAAGAGATGTTATTCACTACGTCCCCAGGTGGTTGGAAGCCCTTGACCTCCAGGCCCTTACTTCGCTGTCTTGACCATAGCAGGAAGAACTTAAGAGGCTTTTTGACTGAAGCTGGCTTTGCCTCAGTTTCAAGGTCGTTTTTTCTCCGCTTTTGCTCTTGACTGCTTTCCTGGCCTTAACCCACTATCCAGTCTTGACCAGTTTCTGTGTCACTCCAAACTTGGTGCTACTTTTTCCTCTTCTCTGTAATTAAAGTTTTCCTAGCACTTGAAATCAGAGGATATCTGTTACAGTTGGCATGTAGATAATTTAATGAAACGTTTTTCTGTTAGCAACAGCTCACTGTTATTTTTAAGATTATATTTAACTAAACCCATTTTTATTGTTGTTTTCGTTGAACTGGCTAAAATAATATTTAAATTTATTTTCTGGTTTATATTTCCATAAAAATAATAGTATACATAGAGCACTATGTGAGTGTCTGAAGTGACCAAAGATAAAGTTTAGTGACTTTATCTCATACAGATTTATTTTTCACTATTTAACAAATATTTGGGTACTCATTCATATCAGGTACCGGATTAGTGCTCTATTATAGTTTTCTAGTTTTAATTTTTTTTAAACATTTCATGAATACCTGCTAAGTTTCCTACATACCTTTCTCTTTGAGCTATAGCTTAATTAGCTAATAATTAGCTAATTCTCTTTGGTAGCATCTATATAATAACCTCCATTGGATTTTTAGTGTGATGTATTAAAAGTTAACTTTTCGGAACTTGGAGGAGGAAGCATTTATGATTTTAAAATGTTTTTTGCCTTTCCTGAGGTCTTCTCTGTGGTTCTGTTTGCTAACTGGCATTGATATGGCCTAGATTGCCATATATACTGTCCTTTGGTTCTAGGTTATTTGAAATTTTTGATGGTGCCCAGCCTCTAAGACAGATAGGAGGATTTAGATATTAACAGATTTAATTTAATAATGTAATAAAGATTTCACTATTAAAATAAGTGTATGACCTCCACCCCTTATTCATTTACAAAAACACTCTAGTTGAAAACAAATAAGCTAGAAAATTGCATTTTATATTTTCTTATATAGGTAAAGAAAGACCTGTTCAGTCTTTGAAAACATCAAGAGACACTTCACCCTCAAGTTCTTCAGCAGTTCCTTCATCAAAGGTTTGTTGTACTTCTAAAATCAAATCAAAAGAGGAAACACAAAGTAAATGAGATGGATTGTATAGTACAGATGCTTTTATTCTTTACTGTCACACCTAACGGGGGTAATTTGCTGCATTGAAATCTTGAGTTTTAAGTAACCATAACTTAAAAGTTGCCCCCAGAGTAAATGAGCAGTTTTCTCATAGAATTATTTCCACAGGTTATGCTAAAATTAGTATTTACTGATCCCCTTCTCATCTTGACCATAGCCGAGTGGGAATGAATATCCAGATGAGGCATATTTGAGAGACTGTGCTTTTATTTTGGAAGTGGGGTAATAGGCATAGACCTAACATTTATTGTATAATGACTTGATTCTATATACTATATTATATATTTTCTTCTGTTATTAATTCATTTAAAAATTCCATGATGTAGGTAAGTGTATATTTCCATTTTATGTAACAGGCTCAGAAGTTAAATAATTTTCTCAAATTATTTCACTGATGAGTTCTCCCAAACATTTAAGAATACCTGTACTTCTCAAACTTCCAAAAAATAGAAGAGGATTGAACACTTCCAGACTTGTTTTATGAACCTAGAATTATCCTGACACCAAAACCAGACAAGGACATTACAAGAAAAGAAAACTACAGGCCAGTATCTCTGATGAAGATAGATGCAAAAATCCTCAGCCAAATGTTAGCAAACCAAATTCATAAGCACATTAAATGGATCATATACCATGATCAAGTGGGATTTATTCCAGGCATGCTAGCATGCATGGTTCAGTATCTGCAGATCAATTAGTGTGATACACCACATTAATAGAGTAAAGGATAAAAATCATATGATCATCTCAGTAGATGCTGAGAAAATTTAACATCCATTTATGATAAAAACTCAACAAAGGGGACATAGAGGGAACATGCCTCAACAAAATAAAGGCTATATATGTCAAGCCAACAGCCAACATCATTCTCAATGGCAAAAAGCTGAAAGCATTTCCTCTAGGATCAGGAACAAGCAAGGATGCCCACTCTCACCAGTTTTATTCAACATAGTATTGGAAGTCCTAGCCAGAGCAGTTAGGCAAGAAAAAGAAATAAAAAGCACCCAAACTGGAAAGGAAGAAGTAAAACTGTCACTATTTGTGGATAACATGATTTTATATGTAGAAAACCCTAAAAAGAAATAAAAGCAAAAATAAACAAATGGGAGCTAATTAAACTTAAAAGCTTTTGCGAAACAGAGGAAACCATTGATAAAATAAAAAGACAACCTGCAAAATGGGAGAAGATATTTTCAAATGATGTGACCAACAAGGGATTAATATCCAAAATATATAAATAGTTCATACAACTCAATATCAAAGAAGAGTCAGAAGACCTGAATAGGCATTTTTCCAAAGAAGACATACAGATGGCTAGCAGGCATATGAAAAGATGCTCAACATTGCTGATTATTAGAGAAATGTGAATCAGAACCACAATGAGATATCACCTCACACCAGTCAGAATGACTGTCATCAAAAAGTGTACAAATAACAAATGTTGGAGAGGATATGGAGAAAAGGGAACCCTTGTGTGCTCTTGGTGGGAATGTAAATTGGAAAACAGTATGGGGATTCCTCAAAAAAAAAAAAAAATTAGAACTATCCTATCATCCAGCAAGCCACTTCTAGTTATGTATGCAAAGGAATTGAAAACAGGTGAACACATGGCAGCTCTGAGAGTGCAAGGAAGCTCTGCACCCCTTCACTTAACCTTGCCTAAGCATCTTTTATCATAAACTGCCTCCTATTGGCCACAAAACTCAGCCCACGTGTCAACACTGGGAGTTTGGTGTCCATCTGCCATGATGCTTCAGTATGCACATATGACCACTGCTCATACTGCTCTCATAAGGAGAGCAGCCGAGATGGCAAGGTAGAAAGACCCTGAGCTCATCTCCTCTCAGGAGCACACCAAAATCAGTTTCCTGCAGAGCAACCATCAGTGAAAAAGAGTGGGACCTACCAGAAAAGATCTTCTACAGCTAAAGACATGAGGGAACCACAACGAGACAGGTAGGAGGGATGGACTCACAGTATAATCATATCCCATACCCCCCAGGTGGGCAGCCCACAAATTAGAGGATAATTATATTGCAGAAGTTCTTCCACAGGAGTGAGAGTTCAGAGCCCCATGTCAGGCTCCCCAGCCTGGGGTTCTGGCACCAGGAAGACAAGCCCCCAGAGTGTTTGGCTTTGAAGGCCAGCAGGGCTTAATTGCAGGAGCCCCACAGAGTGGGGGAAATAGAGACTTCACTCTTAAAGGGCACACACAAAATCCCATGTGCAGTAGGACCCAGGGCAAAAGCAGTAATTTGATAGGAGCCTGGACAAGACCCACCTACTGGTCTTGGAGAGTCTTCTGGAGAGGCAGGGAGCAGCTGCGGCTCACCCTGGAGACATGGACACTGGTGGCAGACAGATTAGGGAATGCTCAAACACATGAACACTGTTGCTGGCTGCTGTCATCTTGGCTCATTAGCACCAAGACCTGGCCCCACTCAGCAACTTGTAGGGGTCAGTGCTGGGGTGCCTCAGGTCAAACAACTAACTGGGCGGGGACACAACCCCATCCATCAACAGACAGCCTGCCTAAAGACTTCCTGACCTCTAGACACACCCCTAGACACAGCCCTACCCACCAAAGGGCCAAGACCCAGCTCTAACCACCAGAGGACAGGCACCAGCCCTTCCTGCCAGGAAGCCTACACTAGCCTCTAGACCAGCCTCACCCACCAGCAGAAGCAAGCCAGACCCTACCCTGGGACCAGCTGTGCCCTGGCCCTGACCACTAGCAGGCCAACACAACCTTCGGGACACCCCAGACCCCATACCCAACTGTTTCAGGAACTTGCCTCTCTCCTACTCCGGCAATCTGAAATGAGCTCTGGGATCCCTGGCCCTGCAGCCAGACTCCAGGAAGCAGTTCTGCTTGCCATTAGTCCGGCACTAACCCTGGATCTGGTTTCACCTGCCAGTGTGTGGGCAACAGCTCTAGAGTCTTTGAGACCCTGACTCTGCCCACCAGTGAGCCAGCACAAGCTCTGGGGCCCCCGAGGGTTCTGCAACCAGCCACCTTATGACCAGGCCCCACTAAACAGTAGCCAGCAGCATCTTCACAAGGCAGGGCCTGGCAACCAACTGGACTAGGGGGCAGCCAGCTGGACTAGGGGGCAGCCAACTGGACTAGGGGCCAACCAAGCCTACCAGACTACCCATGTAGTTAGCCCACCATAACAGGAGGACCCACACAGCCTTTTTAGGGGGAACGCCTAGAGCATATAGCTTAGGAGATGAGGTGGGGGGAGTGTACTGCTAGGACACAACGGATGTCTCCTACAGAAGGCTACTTCTCCAAGGTGGAGAAACATAACCTACCTACCACATACATAAAAATACAAAGAGCAACTTAGACAAAATGAGACAGCAGAGGACTATGTTCTAGAAAGGAACAAGCTATAACCCCAGAAGAAGAACTAAGTGAAGATAGGCAGTCTACCTGTAAAAGAGGTCAGAGTAATGATCATAAAGATGATCAAAGAACTTGGGAGGAGAATGGATGCACAGAGTGAGAAGTTAGAAGTTTTTAACAAAGAGTTAGGAAATATAAAGAACAGCAGAGGTTCGAATACAATAACTGAAATAAAAAATACGCTAGAATGAATCAGTAGTAGACTAAATGATACAGAAGAACGGATCAGTGAGCTGGAAGAGAGAGTAGTGGAAATCACTGCCACTGAATAGAAAAAAAAGAATGAAAAGAAATTGGTACAGTTTAAGAGACCTCTGGGACAACATGAAGCACACTAATATTCACATTATAGGGGTCTCGGAAGGAGAAGAGAGAGAGAAAAGGGAAGAGAACGTATTTGAAGACGTAATAGCTGAAAACGTCCTTAATCTGGAAAAGGAAACAGTTACCCAAGTCCAGGAAGCGCAGAGAGCCCTGTTCTAGATTAACCCAAAGAGGAACCTGCTGAGACCCATAGTAATCAAACTGACACAAATTAAAGATAAAGTGAGTATTAAAAGCAGCAAGGGGAATGCAACAAATAACATACAAGGGAACTCCCATAAAACTATCAGCTGATTTTTCAGCAGAAACTCTGCAGGCCAGAGGGTAGTGGCACGGTATATTTAAAGTGATGAAAGGGAAAAACCTGTGACCAAGAATACTTTACCCAGCAAGGCTCTCAGTCAGGTGTGATTAAAAATCAAAAGGTTTACAGACAAGCAAAAGCTAGAAGAACTCAGTATCACCAAACCAGCTTTACAACAAATGGTAAAGGAACTTCTCTAGGTGAAAAAGAAAAGGCCACAATAAGAATACAAGAAAATTATGAAATGAAAAAGCTTACCAGTAAAGGCAAACGTACTGTAAGGGTAGGAAATCATCTACACACAAAGCTAGTAAGGAGGTTAAAAGACAAAAGTAAAAGTAGTAAAATCATCTGTATCCACAATAAGCAGTGAAGGGATACACAAAACAATTAGATGTAAAATAAGATAAAGACAGTAATCGTGAGGGGAGGAGGGTACAAATGCAGAGTTTTAAAAATGCATTTGAAATTAAGAGATCAGCAACTTAATATACTATTATACAGAAACCTCATGGTAACCACAAACCAAAAATCTATAATATATATACACACAAAAAAGGAGAAGGAATCCAAACATAATACTAAGATTAGTCATCAAATCACAAGAGATGAGGAAAAAAGAAGGGGGGAAAAAGGCCTACCAAAACAATTAACAAAATGGCAATAAGAACATACATATTTCTAATTCCCTTAAGTGTAAACAGACTAAATGCTCCAACCAAAGACATAGAGTGGCTTCATGGATACAATAACAAGATTCATATATATGGTGTCTACAAAAGACTCACTTCAGATCTAGAGATATATACAGACTAAAAGGGAGGGCATGAAGAAAGATACTCCATACTAATGGAAATCAAAAGAAAGCTATATAAGTATAACAGTACTTATATCAGACAAAATAGACTTTAAATAAAGACTGTCACAAGAGACAAAGAAGGACACTACATAATGATCAAAGGGTCAATCCAAGAAGATATAACCGTTGTAAATATATATGCACCCAACATTGGAGCACCTCAATGTATAAGGCAAATATTAACAGACATAAAAGGAGAAATCAATAGTAACACAATAATAGGAGGGGAGTTTAACACCCCACTTATTACATCAGTGGACAGATCATCTAGACCGAAAATTAATAAGGGGACATAGGCCTTAAATAACACATTAGACTAAATGGACTTAATTAATTTATAGAGAGCATTCTATCTGGAAAGCAGCAGAATGCATATTCTTTTCAAGCGCACATGGAACTTTCTCCAGGATAGATGACTTGCTAGGCCACAAAACAAGCCTTGGTAAATTTAAGAAAATTGAAATCGTATCAAACATCTTTTCTGACCACAAGGCCATGAGAGTAGAAATCAACTACAAGGGAAAAACCTGCAAAAAACACAAACACATTGGAGGCAAAACAGTATGCTACTAAACAACCAATGGATCACTAAAGAAATCAAAGGAAATGAAAACAGTATTTCAAGGAGATATCTGCATTTTTTTTGGGGGGGGGATTGAACCTGGCCCATGGCAGCGAAAGCCTTGAATCCTAACTACTAGGCCACCAGGGAACTCCCCTGCATTTCTGTGTTCATTGCAGCATTATTCACTATAGCCAAGATGTGGAAACAACCTAATCTGCCCTCAATGAATGGATAAAGAAAATATTGTATACATACACGATGGAATATTTTTCGACCATGAAAAAGGTGAACATCTTACCATTTGTGACAACATGGATGGACCTTGAGGGCATTATGCTAAGTGAAATAAGCCAGACAGAGAAAGACAAGTATTCTATGATCCTGCTGACATGTGGAATCTAAAAAAGTCAAATTCACAGAAAGAAGGGTTGTTACCAGAGTCTGGGGGATGGGAGAAAAGGGGAGATGTTGGTCAAAGATTATAAACTTGAAGCTATAATATGAATGAGTTCTGGGTATCTAATATACAGCATAGTTATTATAGTTAATAATACTCTCCTGTATAATTGAAATTTGCTAAGAGATCTTTGATGTTCTCACCACAAAAAAGAAATGGTAATTATGTGACATGATGCAGGTGTTAGCTAATGCTAAGGTTGTGATTATTTTGCAATTTAAAAAAAGTGGGTATATATCTCCATTTTATGGAAAAGGCTTAGATGTTAAATAATTTTCTCAAGGACATAGCCAGTCTCCACTGCATCATTCTTTTCAGTCCTTCCTTCTCAGCATCTGAAAACGTGTTGAAAAGGTGCATGGTTCTAATCCTCAAAACTTAAAACTTTGGGGTGTTGCTGAGGTTCTCTTCACCAACCTCACACTCT